TTTTTTCCCATTTTGTGTCCCTGGGATAAATTTGAGAATAAGAAGTGAGGTAAATGATCATTTAGGTGGGGAGAATGGCGGGTCAGTTTGCGAAGCCAAGGTCAGATCCTTTTGAGGAAAAGGATGGAGTGAAGCTGCCAAGTTATAGAGGTGATAATGTAAATGGTGATGCTTTTGACGAGAAGTCGAGAATTCCAGACCCCCCATAGGATGATTAGGGCCTATTGCCAGGCAGTGGCAACTTTGAACCTTCTCAGGGCGTTTGCAACTGGAGGCTATGCAGCCATGCAAAGAGTCAGCCAGTGGAACCTAGATTTCACAGAGCACAGTGAACAGGGTGACAGGTTTGTTTAACTCCCTAACTCTGCCATTCACTGAATCTACTAGTGCTTTGGAAGTTGGAGTTGTACCATACAGCTTTTAGAATATACTTGATGTCTGGCCTCCATAATTTCCTTTAGTTTTATTCCATTATGCTGCCTATTTCAAAATTTCACTTAAACATTTGAGATCTATGTCTTTCAATAGATTCCATTAGCTTTAAGTTGTGTGTATGTATGTGTATATAAGAGCATATTTACTGCCAGTATGGTAAGTGGCTTTGTTCAAGCGAGAAGGAGCCTTTCCACATTTTTTTTTTTTCAGATTTCTTGCTGTTGGATTTACATCTCATTCAAAATTGTGATCTTGGGGGTAAGTACTGGAACTGCAAAGGTTTTGAGTGCTATTCTATCATTTGATCAGAAAATTCTTATTGTATGACTAAAAGCTCAAGAAAATGCGAAAGAGAAAAGCCCTAGCATTTTGTTGCTATTTCTCTCTTTCCTGAGAATGTAACACTTACCATATGGCAATACTTGAATTTGAAGGAATCGTGTGAGAAATACTAGTTTCATTGGCTTGAGCTGGCTTAAACTAACTGAATCAGTTCTGTTTAAAGATTAGAGTTATTTGCATTTGAAGGTGCCTTTTGGTGTGAACAAACAGGTACCATGAACTGGCTCACCGAGTCGATGAGGCCATGGGATTCATGGCGGCAGCTGGACTCACAGTTGACCACCCGATCATGACAACAACAGATTTTTGGACATCTCATGAATGTCTGCTCTTGCCTTTTGAGCAAGCACTAACAAGAGAGGATTCAACTTCTGGGCTTTATTACGACTGTTCTGCTCACATGCTTTGGGTTGGGGAACGGACTCGTCAACTTGATGGTGCTCATGTTGAGTTTTTGAGAGGAGTTGCAAACCCTCTCGGTATAAAGGTATCGAGAATGTATCTTTTCTTTCAGTTCTCTCTCTCTCTCTCTTTCTGTTTTTCTCTCTCTCTGTCTTTTGTTTGGTTCATTTCTAGCTTTTTTTTTTTAATATATTTGCTTTGGCACAGCAGTTGATGATTTTTCTATGGAATTGCTAATAGAGAATTGGCAACTAAACCAGTATTATAATGATACAGGTGAGTGACAAAATGAATCCAAGTGAGCTGGTTAGGCTCATCGAGATTCTCAACCCTCATAACAAGCCGGGACGGATAACAGTAATTGTAAAAATGGGAGCTGAGAACATGAGAGTGAAGCTTCCTCACTTGATCAGGGCAGTGCGTAGAGCAGGCCAAATTGTCACTTGGGTTAGCGACCCCATGCATGGTAACACCATCAAAGCACCTTGTGGACTCAAAACTCGTTCCTTTGATGCAATCAGGGTAAGGTCGCTACCTGGAACTATTATTTTCTTTCATGAGCTGCTTTTTTTGGAATCTTACATGAGTTTTCTTGAGATTTATTTTTTGGAGAAGGAAAAGTAAATTATGTTAAACGAGAGTACCAAGGGAGTGCCACCGGAATACAAAAATTATTTACAACTTAAGCACCATGTCTATAAGAACCCAAGATCCCTGTCACTACATAGCGGTTGACCCTTAATAAAAAAAATCTTAGGGTCCGGAACCATGAATCTTACAAAATTACTAGGACGGTGGATGAGAACATGGAATAGATGAGGATAGGGCATAGAACTTTTAGTAAGAGGGAGTCTACCACCCTTGTACAATACCTCGTTACCTTCCTACCAAATGAGATCTAAATCTGCTTACTACTGGATCTCATGATAAGATATCTTGGAACTTTACCCCAGAGGGAGACCCATATACTTGATCAGAAGGCTAATACTTCTACACCCAGAATATTGACCAAATTATGTGCTTCATTATTGTCACCCAATTGAACTAACTCTGACTTCCCCCTTGTTGATATTTAGACGGGAGATGGCTTGGAATCACAGTAAGACACATTTAATATGAAGAATAACCTCTGAATTTGGCTTGCAGAATAAAAGAGTCCCATCAGCAAAAAATAAATGAGTCACCTCTACCTCATCAGCTCCCATCCTCCACCTTCAAACCTCTGAAAAAACATTAATTCTCTGGCCTCAAAGGAGCAGTCTATTCATAATCTCCATGAAAATGATGAAGAGCAAGGAAAACAGTGGGTGAACTGTCTTGAACCCCTAGAGGCCTTTAAAAAAAGATGAAGGGCAGCCATTCACCATTGCTGCGAAAGAGGAAAATTGACACAAGTTTTCATCTATGCCCGCCATTGACCCCATTC